ATTTTATAACTATTTTTTAATTTAATTTAATTTTTAGTTTATTTTGTCTTATTTTATTTTATAAGTATATTTAATTTAATTTCATTATTTTATTTATTATTTTATTTAATTTTTTTAATTATTAGTTTATTTAATTTAATTTCTTCGTTTTATTTTATTAGTTTATTTGATTTAATTTTATTATTTATATACTTAATTTAATTATTCTATTTTATTTTATTAGTGTATTTGATTTAATTTTACTTGATTATTTTTTATTTAATTTAATTTTTTAATAGGTATCATAAAAATGTGCAGTTCATAGTTATAAACAAGGACGGAAAATAATCATAATCTGCCTTATCCTGAGTTTCGCCTGAAAAAATATTCACCCGAAAATTCGTCATCCGCCCATAGTAAAACCATGTAAACCAAAAGTGAAAAGTGAACCGGTTCGGGGAAAATTAAACTCATGATAAGGCTAATTGAGGTTTATTTTTTCACTTAAGAGTAATGATTGTTCAAAAAACTCGAAAGCCATACCAGTGTGATTTCCGACATGTCCTTTTCAGAGGCAGCGACACTTTAATACAAGGAATAAGTCCCGAAATTTTTAATAATAATTACCTATAAATAATTTCTATTTTTAAGCGAAGAAAAAAGTAAGTTCTGACTAAATCCTGTAAACCGGACACAGACTAAATGATTAAATGCTCATTTGGTTTTATAAATCTATATTTTGGTACGAATGGATAAGGTTTGATGCCAAGAGTTCCCAGTCAGAAACTCTCATCTTTGGCTCAAATGTACAATTTACAATTCATCACTGAATTAGTTTTATATTTAAATATTGTTACTTCTTACTTTAATTAAAACTAGTATCGCCCCGTTGTCGAAATTCGACCACCTCACTTTTTTTACACAATCATTCATTTTGCTTGGGAAGTTTTTATGTCCAGCAGCAGGCCACTTATATTGTTTGGTGGTGTAATATACATTCTGTTAAATAATTTTAAAATTGATATCAGCAGTAGGGAGGAATAGATTTGTATGGGATTTCGTTAGCGTATTAATATATAGATAGTAGATGGTGAAACCAAAGCAGGCATTCATAGGATTTTACGGAAATTAGAATAACTCGGCTCTGGAGCTATCAGGTCCATCTTTTACAGGTGTATTTCTCTTGATGTTTGAAATTTGAAGCAAATCGGACCATAAATGAAGTCTTTCGGAATAACTCCACCCCTTCTCCACCTACTGAAAAAACAAACAAAATGCTCACCTCCCCTATGAAATACCTTTCGAACAAAAGAATAATCATTCAAATTGGTTGAGAAACATAGGAGCAGTAGGGAGGAATAGATTTGTATGGGATTTCGTTAGCGTATTAATATATAGATGTTGAGTGCCTGGCGCTGATGTATGGGCGAACAGAAGAAGGTCTGAGGTATATACTTACATACGTGGTTATCTATGTTCTCTACAGATCCGTATGTACTAGGGATGCCAATACCGGGATCCCGGATCCCGAAAATTTGGAAATATCGAATTGATATTAAAAACTTATTTATGAATTTGAAGTATGATTTTTGTAAAATGCCGTTTTGACTACAATTAACAAAAAGCTTGAAACTGTACTCTTGAAATTGCAGCCGGAGCCTTTGTTGGAGAAGATTATAATGAATGTGCTCATAGCGTCGCTAAGTATGGAATGTTGACAACAGTCATTGCTTGAGCTGATCTGCTCTTTTGCCAGACTTTCTAAGGATAACAAAATGTAATGAAAAATAATACTAATTTTCTCCAAAAAGGGGGAACTTTAACCCTGTGTAGAAAACATTGCGATGCGATGGAGCAAAATCTTCCTGGGTTTTGACCACCACTTATGAATGCTATCATAATTTTCACACACCCACCTAGTACAGAACACATCTGTGGGACCCGAGATTAAAATATCTTAGGATTGTAAAAATTTGCAAATTTGCTTTTTATAAAAAATCTGTTAAAAAAATAAAAAAAATCTTTATTAAAGAAAAAAATACTTACAACGTTGTTACTGAGATATTAACGTTAAAGTTTTTGATATGTGATAACTTTCTTGTTGTTGTAGTATATAAAAAAGTAGTAGTTGTGGTATTGAAAAAATTTAGTTCTGCTCTCGTTGGACTCTAATTTAACTGTAATAAAGGTTTCCATCAAAAAGCGTGTTTCCTATGTTTTTTTTTGGAAAAATAAAGGATATCAAATTGCTATTCAGTGGCCCAAATTAGGTAAAAAAACCTCCTTTAAAAATGAATTTCAATGTGAATACATCATGAACATTTTGTTCAAAATTCCTTAGGCGGCGAACGCCGCCACCGCCGGCGCGCCGATATTTTCGTAACTCAGCGGCGCACACTGTGCCCTTTTCCAATTTTAGCGTGCCAAAAGTCCAAAATAAAATGATTTCAGATAGCCGTGATTTTTGGCATTCTGGCTGTCAAATATTCGGCTACTAAGTCTATCTAATAAATTCATAAGAAAAAACAATAAAAACAAAAATAATCGGTGTCAAACGTTGCTCATTGTGACGCGTAAAAATATTAATTTTTAGCGGGAAGTTTTTCGCATACTTTTAAGTAGCAGTACTTTTTTTTACGAAGTTATTTTAAAATAGTTATTTATGCATGGTTTAGTTTCAATGTTTCCTAATCTAACATATACTGAATGGAACTCTACCACACAATCAAAATTTTGAAAAGAATGCCGAGTGAATGCAGATCCTACTGATTCAATTACTACGTTTATACGCACGCATTATTTGCAAATAGTAATGGATAATTTGCAAAATGGTAAACTTTGCCGTATAAACGCTGAGTTAATTTTTTATTTGCAAATAACTAAATCGCGCAAATAAGTATTGATCAGTGGTACTATTTGCAATTAAGCGCAAGACGCCGCCATTCTTAGGCTTATTTTCTTTTTCGATGGTCATCTTATTGCCTTTTTATAATTAAGACGTTGCCATTTTTAACTTTATTTTCTTTTTCTATTTCCTTTTTTTATAATCAGGCAATATTAAAAAAGAATTTTTCACCATCGAATAAACAGTGAGTTAGGTAGTTGCAAATTATTTTTATTTGCAAATAGCTTAGGTATA